AACCCGCCACCTTAGGTATATGTAGCTGGCGCCTTAGCCACTTGAGCCACGGGCGCCAAGCTTATTTACTAGTTCTTTAACCTTGGGTATTTCTATGACTCCTTTTACTCATCTGTACAATGAGGGCGACAATGCGTTGCCTTCTCTTGCCTACTTCACAAGTTGACTGAGATGATCATGTAAGTATAGGAATGGTTTAACATGTGAATGTTTGGGGCGGCGCCCATAGCTCAGTGGGTAGGGTGCCAGCCATGTTCACCGAGGCTCGCAAGTTCAAACCAGGCCAGGGCCAGCTGAAACAACAATGACAACTGCAACAACAACAAAAAAATAGCTAGGCGTTGTGGCGGGTACCTGCAGTCCCAGCTACTTGGGAGGCTGAGGCAAGAGAATCACTTAAACACAAGAATTTGAGATTGCTGTGAGCTATGATGCCACAGCACTGTACTCAGGGCAACAGCTTGAGACTCTGTCTGAAAAAAAAAAGTGAATGTATGAAAGCTCTAAGTGTGGTATAAATGTTAATTATTATTTGGGTTATGAATTTCTGATATTCTAGTCTCTACTAAATTGGCTTTTGGATTCAGTAGAGAACCTACTACTATGGGCAAAGTTCTTATGAAAATACTTAGGACTCAGCCAGGCACAGTGGTTCACGCCTGTAATCCTAGCACTCTAGAGGCCACAGCAGATGGATTGCTCGAGCCCAAGAGTTCAAGATCAACCTAAGCAAGGGCAAGACCTTGTCTCAACTAAAAATAAAAAAAAAACTAGGGTGTGGTGGTGAATGCCTACAGTCCTAACTACTCAGACGGCTGAGGCAGGAGGATCACTTGAGCCCAAGAGTTTGAGGTTGCTGTGAGCCAGGATGATGCCACAGCACTCTACCCAGGCCAACAGAGTGAGACTCTGTCTCAGAATAAGAGAAAATACTTAGAAGTCCTCACATGACAATTAATTTAATAACCTAGTCACAGGTTATTATGTGCCTATTATGCCAGCAGTAGGGTTAACTATTATCCTTGGAATCTTCCCTTCCTCATTCTCAAGTCCTCTCCGCAATGAGCATAAATATTCCATGGATGTGTAGTTTCTGCCATGTGTCCTGAAACTTCCCCAAACCAACAGTTGCACAGTAATAGTTAGGGTTGCTGGCTCGGCGCCTGTGGCTCAACCGGCTAAGGCGCCAGCCACATACACCTAAGGTGGGGGGTTCGAATCCAACCCGGACCCATCAAACAACAATGACGGCTGCAACCAAAAAATAGCCGGGCATTGTGGCGGGCGCCTGTGGTCCCAGCTACTTGGGAGGCTGAGGCAGGAGACTCGCT